CATAAGTTGGTGCCTGAATTTGAAGAAGGGAGGATTTTCTTCTCTCCATCTCGAGTTATCAATTACTTGTTGAATCTTGTGAATTGCCTCTAAAAACTTTTATTGGTGAAAAGAAATGTGAATGAAAGATCCAATTACCTATAGAATAGGAAACTGGGAAAGAAAAAATCTACCAAAAATGAGAGTGCACTGTGGAGGGAGTAGTGGATGAGGAAAGCAAGAAGAGAGAGAAAGTTGTAGGGTGCTGATTTAGATGCAGAATGGTCCATTTATAGGCCTCAAACTGAGAGAAACTTTGATGTAATATCTTGTGTTGATCTGCTAGTAAAGTTTGAATTCTGCACAGTTCGTGGAGCGTTGGGTCAGAGACGTCGTTGCGGGGTGGAAACATCCAAATGTGAAATTGGCGTTAAAATGGTCAACACTTCAATCTCTTTCTTGGACTGCATAACTTTCAACGCCAAGTTTAGAAAAAAGCAAGACTCTTGCTTGCAGGAAACTTGCTCAAAAGTGTTACGACAACGAGTTCATTAGGCCGTCAAAGAGGGCTCCTGGCGGCTTTCATTATTTTTTTTTGGGTACATTTGGAAGGAAAGTACTGGTGGCTGTGTTTTTTTTTTTTTNAACATCCAAATGTGAAATTGGCGTTAAAATGGTCAACACTTCAATCTCTTTATTGGACTGCATAACTTTCAACGCCAAGTTTAGAAAAAAGCAAGACTTTTCTTGCTTGCAGGAAACTTGCTTACAAGTGTTACGACAACGAGTTCATTAGGCCGTCATGACATAGTATCTCTGACAATGTCAATGTCAATGAATCGTAGTATTTCTGTCAATGTGATTGGATCATATTAAAATCGGACTAATTCTTAGTTGGATCAAATTTAAAAGTTTCCATCTAAATCTTTGCATTTAAATCTCCGATGCATTTCATTTTTAAAATTCATATCCAAATTCATTAAAATAAAAAAATCTAATTCCGATAACTCAAATNTTTTAAAATTCATATCCAAATTCATTAAAATAAAAAAATCTAATTCCGATAACTCAAATGAAATTTTAGAAAACTATATGGAATTCTCAACAACACTGTATTAAACAATTAATTAATTTCATCACAAAATTATAATATTATTNATTAATTAATTTCATCACAAAATTATAATATATAGAGATCAGAGTTAATTATTCAATTATCTATATTCAAAATTTGAATTTAAAAATATAAATATAAATTCAAATTCGATTTAAGCATGATCTACTTACGTGCCAAAAGTTTTGCTGCATGAACTTGCATGTTGCTCGTCAAAGAGGGCTCCTGGCGGCTTTCATTATTTTTTTTTGGGTACATTTGGAAGGAAAGTGCTGGTGGCTGTGTTTTTTTTTTTTTTTTTAATTTTGGAAAGTGCCGGCGGCTTTCAAGTGTAAGAAGCTCTGCCTTGTAATGTTAGGTTACCAAACTCCGCTGTTAATTCTAAACATCATCTCACACACACACACACACACACACACAATCGATACAAATTAAATAGGTTTTGACGTAGAAGTGAATTTTTGATGATAAATAATTAGACTCATTATAACTACTTAATAAACAGGTTAACATGAAAACATGGTATCTTCGTTGTATTATAAATCTTATTGAATACCATGAATGGTAGTTGATGACAAGTTAAAATATTAGGTTTGCATATTGCCAAACGAACTCGGTAAATAATCCTACTGTTTTTATGAGTGATGTAATGTTAATTGCACTTAAAAAATTGACTGATTTATTGATTTGATGATATGGTAATTACGCACATGCCATTAATAACCTTCAGCCACATACTATAACTTCAGGACTTTTACTTATTATTGTCATTTGTAAACAAGGAAAAAAATTCAGAGATAAAATGCATTAAAAAGTATATCCAACAGAGGGTTGGCAAGACAAACAATAAATAAAATTACAATCCTTCTTTAAAAAAAAAAGAGAGAAGAACAACACCAATGCAACAATTGCTTGTCCTAGTTTAAGCCTGGTATGAGCATGGTGATTTTAGTTGTCTAAGCTTCCTTTCATCTGAGAGCAATTTCGCAAACCTGCAAGAGACAGGAAGAGACTGATTAATAATACATTAACAAATTTTGAGAACAACTGGGGCATACGATATCATTCCAAAAGTTGTGACTCTATAAAGATAAGTTATAATCTAATGAGGGTCTAGTCACCATTTAAAAAAGTTGATATAAATCTTAAAATGTTAAGATCGATCATTGAAATTTTGTTGGATTAAATCAAAACTTGCGGTGTGAATTCAAAAATTAACCCTTCAATACCATCCATCGTCCACTTTCTCTCCATTTTTTGGCATCCAAACCAAATCGAATGACAAAAAAATTGATTGGTTGTCTCCAGACCGACCAGTTTCCAAGTTTACCCTCGAAACTGGTTTCTTCAACAACGTCTCTCCAATCTCCACAAGTCTGTTCAAGTTCTCCTCTGTAGCAACATCAACGGAGGAGTCTGTCCCAATTAAGGAGTCCTCCTGGCATTACATTCAATAGATCATCAGTGTCATATAAAAACTGAAAGCGCACTTAGTTCCAATATAGGTGGAATCAAAATTCTCCTATTACACTTTCACTCAATGGTAAATCACACATTATGCTTAAGATAAAAAACCCTGATATTAGCTTATTTATTAAAAAAATAGTTGGCAAGGGAAATATGATATTAGCTTACTTGAATTCGAAGGTAGTTTTCTTCGGAATGAAGAGCTCGAAAAACCACAGAAATATGGAAATCAACCATATCAGCACTTGCTTGAGTGAAAACATCCACCAACGGACTGGAGCCGCCGTGAAGTAACCAACTAAAAACACCCCATTTGGCTGCCATTTTCGCACTGTATTTCTGTTCCACCTTTGCAGAGCCAGTGCCTACTAAGATCACTAGAAAGCGTCCATAGTCCATGGGCTTAATCGGGAAGAAATCTGGACTTCCACTAAAGACCTTTTTGGTTATCTGGGATATGGCAACTAAAGCCTACAAAACATGGTACCCAAAAAAATAAAATCGTATGAAAGTGGGGTTAATTCAATGTTCTATATTTCATAGATATATACTTTGGGTGACTATATTATTCAAATCTGTCGGGATGTTAGAGGTATATAGTTACCTAGTATCTTAGGTTGTTACTTGTAAGAGTATCTTCTAATAAATTATATTATTTTGTCTCAATCAGTAGCTCTCTTGTAAGTATCCCGTGGAAAGTAATCTTCGGGTATGTCTTGAACAATATTGTCTATCCATGCCTTTTTGTTTTTTCCAAAATATTATTTTCATTCAGTAAAGAAAATATAGAGTGTTTGATTGCAGATTCAAGTGTATATAACAATGAGTGACACATTTAGAAAAGCTTATAATGTATCTACTATATACAAGATCATACCGGATTATTTGCTGCAACATCACCATCAATAAGATTGAATTCCCAACTGTTCCCTTCTTTATCTTGGCCACTAAAATGGTGGGCAGGAAGATAAGTTGGGGCTGCGGACGTACTAGTACATATATCAGATAAGAGCAATGTTGCATGAACTTAAAAAGTAGATTTAAAAATTATACTTGACAATCTCAACCATTGATTTTTTTGTGGGTTCCAACATTTACTGAGACTCACTGCTATCTATTCAATGGTTGAGATTATCAAGTCTAATTTTTAAGTTTAGGTTTTAAGTTCATCTAACATTACTCATCAGATAATCGAGCATCCAGGAAGGGGGATTCTTCCACCTGCATCAACATAAAAATATAAGGATATATGATAAGCACATAGAGAGAGAGAGAGAGAGAGAGAGACCTCATAAGTGGAGAAAATTTGGCTGCAAATTCTTGACATCGAAAGTTGGGATGACAACATTGGTTAAAGTTTGATGTAATCGACAGTCTCCTAGTTTCTCCCTTACAACTTTGTGAAGATACTTGCCATCGTA